TAGTTTCCCCAACTCATATAATTTCCCCATGTTTTGGCATCATTGACATTGTTGATTTACAAGCATTTAGTCCTTAAACAAAGTTAAGTTTAGATATTAACAAGTTATATAACATCCGGATACAAGCTAGCTTAGCTAATTGATGACAAGTACAAAGAAAAAATGATGTCATCCGGTTTAAATTATCAAAAGATATATACATAATAAAACCTATCATTGTGGTTGCAATAAATTATCAGCCGATTATCAGCAAGAAACGTCCAAATGACCATGATCCCAATTCCCAATATACGATGTTCCACAAACAAAACAAATAATATTTGGATAGCAATATTCCTTCTCTCAGTATAAAAAAGTAAAGCACAAGAGAATGACTATACAACAACTAAAATTGAATTGCAATTCACATCAGATAGTAAGTAGTTGATATCAAATTAATAGTTTCAAGTTTTAGCAATCATAGAATAACACCTTAATTTGCATCTTGCCCCCAAGCCATGGTTAAGTAACATGTCGTAGTACTATATACAAAAATCACCATAAAAACAAAGTTGGATCATTTATTTCATCAGAGCGGAATAGCTGAAAGTAATGAAGATACAAAACATCAACGGGATACTGATTCATATGCCTGTTGGAAGTGATCCGAATGCCTGTTGAAGTGATCTTCAACATCGACACCGGTAGCACTACATTCGAATAGTGAAGAAGAGATGTTAATACGAGAGAACAATCAGGATTTGAGTGCCTACTCTGATGGGTGAAGAGTAAATTATCTTTATAATTTTTCATTGTACAATCTACATAACTTTCACAATAATAGTGACCATTCAATCAATACATATCTTTAAATTGTATCTATCGAGCATGTTGTATATAATAATTTATATCAAATCACATATATGTATTAGGATAAAAATATATTCAATACGACTCAAATCAATGGAAACATACAGAAAATTGAAATCAGGACACCCTATCAACTCTCTCCTCTCAGTTTCTACTACTAAGGAGCACTTCTTCTATTCAATCACTCCAAATACACTCATCAAGAGGGATCGAAAATTGAGTTCATAAGTTATAATGGAACTGTAAGTACATATAACAATAGATCCTTTATCCATATATACGTTTATAGAAAAAAAAAAAAAAACAGCAGATTCTAGCTTCCACAGTCCAAGTTAAACACAGATATTATGCATTATTCTTCACAAATAAAGAAGGCATCCAGGCTGTAGATATTTAAACGTAAAGCTCCATAGCACATATCATATTTCCAACTCACAGATCACAAATCTCCTCCAAACAAAGACAACGATGTAGAAGCCCAGAAAACGAGAGAGGAAAGAGCAAGAGGGAAGCTACTGTATTTCATTTCTGGGAAAAATGATATATACAAAATCACATATACATCCCTCTAGCTTCTCCAAGAACCTTTCTCAAACTAAATAATAGCCACACATTCTACTTTCCACATCATCAATCTGTTAATATTTAAATATTGAACACAAAAAGACAAATAAGAGTTCTTTATAAAATCTCAAATATTAACATTGTCCTCCTTCGAGATTTTGCTAAAACTCCCATTTCATCCCTAAGCTTCTCAAACCTGTTGCATAGGAGAGTCCCTTTGTCATCATGTCAGCCAATTGATCTTCAGATCGACAATAAACCAGAGTTCACCATTAGCTACAGCTACATGAATTGAATGAAACTTAACACAAATGTGCTTAGTTCTACCATGAAAAATATGATTCTTTGACATAGCAATGGCTGATTTGTTATCCACAAACAGCTTGACAGCTCCTCCTTGATCCATGCTCAACTCTTTCAATATTTTAGTTAACCATCTCACATGATTTGTAGCATTGGCAGCAACTATATACTCTGCTTCAGCTGAGATTGGCCAACCACATCCCGCTTTTTCGAACTCCAAGTAAACACTCCAAAACCAAAAGAGATAACAGAGCCTGATGTACTTTTCATGTCATCTACACACCCTGCCCAATCTGAATCAGAATATCCCATCAATTTATGTCCATGATGAGATGCATAGACAATTCCATAATCAACTCTCTTTGCAACACCCAAATACACTTGTCTAGGTGAATGCACAAACCTTGACAACAAACTTGTAGAATACATCAAATCGGGTCTAGTGTTAGTCAAGTACATTAGGCTTCCCACTAGACTACGGTATATAGATGCATTGACCATATTACCTCCATCATCCTTTGAAATTTTCTCATTAACAACAAGAGGAGTACCAACTTATTTGCTCAATCACATCTGAAATCGATTCAACAAATTTGTACCATACATCTCTTGGCTAATGAAAATTTCAGAATCTCTATTCCAAGAAAATAATTCAATTCACCCAAATCAGACATCTCAAATGCCCTTTTCATTTCTTTCTTGAATTCAGCCACTTGTATTTCATCACTCCCGGTTACCAACAAATCATCAACATAGATAGATACAATGAGAATATTACCTAGTTTTCCTTTCTTAATATACAAAGTAGCATCATTATGGCTTCTGAGAAATCCCCATTGTTGCAAGAATTCATCAACCTTCTTGTTCCAAGCTCTTGGAGCTTGTTTTAAGGCGTACAAAGTTTTGTGCAATTTAAGAACAAAATCTTCCGTGCCTACAACTTTGAATCCTTGCGGCTGTTCAACATAATTTTCTTCTTCCAATTTGCCATTAAGGAAGGCAGATTTGACATCCAAATGAAAAAATTTCCATCCCTCTTTTGCAGCTAGAGCAATAAGTAATCGAATGGTATCAAATCTTGTTACGGGGCAAAAGTCTCTCCATAATCAATTCCAGCTTCTTGTGCAAATCCTTTAACAACCAGCCTTGCTTTCAATTTGTTGAGTGCGCCATCTGAATTCAACTTTGCTTTATCAATCCGTTTTAGCCCCAAAACATACCTTGCTTATGGTTTAGTAACTAGTTCCCAAGTTTCATTCTTCATAATCATATGAATCTCATTTTTCATTGCTTGAACCCAATCTCATTCTCCATATCTTTTTCAAAGCTTGTAGCCTTAATTGCAAAGTTGCATATCTTGTATATCTCTTGCAAGCTTTTCATTTTTTGCTTTCATTTTCATCTCAATCATCATCACCGATTTCAGATGTAGAACCAGTAATGCCAACATTTGATGAATTCTCTCCAAACTCCTTCAGTCTCTCTATCTGTTGCAACTCCAATTTCCAATAGCTTTCTTCATCAAGAATAACATCTTGATTGATTTTCACTCCGTTTGTCTTCAAATCATAAACTCGATAACCTTTTATTCTTGAAGCATAACCAAGAAAAATTCCGAACTGTGATTTCTGCTCCAATTTACTTCTTGTAGCTGTTGGAACATGCACATAACACATGCACCCAAAAACTTTTAAGTGCTTTGCAGATGGCTTGCTTCCACTCCAACTCTCAATTGGTGTAGTATCTCTAGTATAGCATCTATTTTGAAGGTAGACAGCAATAGAGGTCTGCCCAAAACTTATTTGGAAGCTTCATCTCAAGTAGCATGCATCTCACCATTTCAACAATAGTTTGATTTCTCCTCTCCACTTCATTATGTTCAGGAGAATATGGTGCTATGAGCTGATGATGAATGCCATTACCATGGCAAAAAATGTTGAAAGCACTTGAATTATACTCCATCCCATTATCGGTTTGAATGTCTAACAACTTGCAGCCACTTTGATTTTCAGCCATCTTTTTAAATCTTTTGAACACTTCAAACACTTGGGATTTTTGCTTGATAAAGCATATCCAAGTCATTCTTGTCAAATCATCTATGAACAACACAAAATATCGATTTCCATTGCATGCAGTTTTCATAGGACCACAAACATCTGAGTGAACAAACTGCAGTTTCTTTCAGCTTTCCATTCTCCTCACTTGGGAATCTTGCTCCTATGTTGCTTTCCAAGTTGGAAAACAGTGCACACATCATTTGGATTAGAGATTAATGGCATGTCTCTAACCAAATTACTTTTAACCATATGAACAAGAGCTTCATGATGATGACGTCCATATCTTCTATGCCACAGTCTTGTGCATATAGAGTGGAAACTCTTGTCAACCATTGGAAGTTTAACAAGAAGAACCTTGTGAATATTATAAACAAAACAACTTTCATGCTTGAAAAATAAAGCATATCCATTATGTAGCAACTGACCAACACTGAGTAAGTTGTGTGCTAGTTCTGGAATGTAGAGAACATTTTTCATCAGCATAGTACCTTTTTTTGTTTTCACCTTTATGTCTCCTTTTCCCTTTGGCTTGTAACATCTCACCATTACCAATCTTCACTTTGGTCTTTATAGATCGATCAAGTTTAATAAATAAACTCTCATCTCTTCACATGTGTGACGTACACCCACTATCAATAACCATATATATTTGTTTGATTTACTGACATTATGAGTGACCATAAAAAAGTTAGCTTCTCTTTCATCTTCTTTTTCTTACACAATATTAGCATGTTGAGCAGGCCGTGGTGGATTTAGTTGTTGTTTTTGTTGTTGTTGCTGCTGCTGCTTAGCTTTACAATTTCTTTCTACATGCCCTTGCTTCTTACTAAACCAACGCTGAATTGGTTTTTTTCCTTTCAACCAACAATCTTTCTCTAGATGATTTGTTCTTGCACAATACCTACAAGAAAGATATTGGCCTCTTCTATCAGCCCCTTGGACCTTCTTTTTCCTTGCTTACAATTGATTTCAGCTCGGTATGCCTCTTCCAATCTTTCTTATCCTTCTTCCACTTTTGCTTAACTTGGAAAGCCCTTTCACTCGTGTCTTCATCTCGCAAACTTGCCCTTTGCTCTTGAGCTTGTAATTTGCTAACAAGTTCAGCAACATCACATGTCTCTTCAATAACATCCACTTTAGCTTCGAATCGTGATGGCAAGCTTATTAGCATTTTCTCAACCACCTTTTGATCATTAACATCGTCTCCCAAAATCTTCATTCTATTTACAAGATCAGCAAGCTTGGAAGAGTATTCCTTAAATAATAGCCACACATTCTACTTGCCACATCATCAACATATTAATGATTAAATATTAAACACAAAAAGACAAATAAGAGTTTTTTATAAAATCCCAAATATTAACACAGGCAATCATACAGAATTTCCAACTTCTCTGTAAATATGAACATAAGTCACACACCATGGATACCCACCCACATATTATCTATGATAGGACAAATCCAGCTTCATCCGTGACAGACATGTTTATCCTGGTCGTATACGACAAGTCTGTGTAGATTGACAAGCATATGCAGTGTAACAGCAGTAGCTGCAGAAGCAGTGTAATATGGCTAAAATGCGATTTTCCTCCTGGTAAGTTAAAATGAAGTTGATCGGCTTTTTCGCATTCATTGTGGATAGTGCCAGCTGAACTGCTTTCATATCATATAGTCTTTCCATATATCCTATGCTTTGTATTCAATTCTATTCATCAAATTTAATAATGAAATTTTTTTAGTTGAATCTTCTGAAGACAGATGTAAAAGAGGTTGGGTGTAGTTTGATCTTATGCAAATGTACGAGGTTTGAAATTCATATAAAGGATAGATCACATACCCATTGTTGAGTGCTCAAATAGAGGAAACATAAAAACAGTGTGTGCACACACTGTGTAAGAAACTGATTATCGAGTGTGCAAATTTAGCAGATTGGCTGGATTCATACATGCAACAACACAGGAGGCAACAAAAAGAAAAGAATGAATAACTGTAAATACCTTCTTTAATTAAATGTAATGCCCTTTCCTCTGCTTCGTCCTTTCCTCTGCTTCGTCCCAAGATAGCGGATATATTATGAGATCTCTGAGGGTTCCTAAGAGTGTATATGGCTTGAGGCACATAAAAAAGCCAGCATCAGCAATCATAAATAATTTTTTCTCAGCGTTTCATGAACCGATTGAATATCCTAAAATGGTAGCTGGGAAAAATAAGACAAAGATACAAACCAGTAACAAGAAGGGCTTTTCCCTGAAAGAAATGATCACAAGTTAACTTTCAAGCCTACATATGCTGACTCGGTGTAATAATATCAACCTTGGAAAAGAAACAATATTTTTCTAGGCATCATCAACATTAAAATAAGGTTTTAGGTAAAGCCAAACATTCAAGCTATATATGCATTAAGCTTTTCATATGAGCAATGAGGCATGCATACTTCAGTCGCACACAGTATACCAACACAATTACTTAATCTAACATATTGTCGACTGAAAGGTATATCTTCTCATTATTGGTTGTTACCCATAATGACATTAATGTGCCCGCAAGACTTTTCTCCAAAATTCTCAGACAAGACATTCTTGAAAAGCTTTTAAAAGTAGAAAATTTCAATGAACACCACCAGAAAACAGAAGATGAAATATTTTTTGATGTAATTGAAGAATATCACCATAAACAAAAATCCATAAGAGGCAACGGATGCTAAGAATCGTAGCTAAGGTTGTTAAGGCCACACCATACGTTGAACGTCGCCAACCCGCGAGGTGTTGGCAACACCGGAACGCCACCAATGCGACGCCATACGGCGGGGCTTTGGCGACGCCGTAACGCCATACGGCGAGGCGTTGGAAAAGCCGCAACGCCATATGGCGACCGTCGCCAAACGGCGAGGTTTTGGCGACGCCATATGGTGATCGGGTCAATCGCATTTTATTTTATTTTGGCAAGATATTATCCATTTTATCCTTAGATAATTAATAATTGTTAGGGAAAAATATATAATATACTTGTACAATTCATTAAAAATAAAAAATAATTTAATACAAAATATTAATTTTTATATTATTAATATACTTTTTTATATTTAACATAAAACTATATTTATAAAAAAATACAAAATAAAAGAATCAAATGTTCACTCTCTAAAAAAAATTTAATATATTCTTTGTTAATATTTTTTCTTTCCTGGGCAAAAGTAAAATAAAAAATAATTTGATCAGTATAAATAAATTTGATAAAAATTAAAAAAATAATAATTTTATTAATCAATAGAAATAAATAAGATAATTATAATATTTTTACTTTTTATATTTTATATATATATATAATGATATATTTATAATTTATAATTTATTTTAACTATAATATAAAATTGATATTTGAGTAGAATACAAAAAGATAATTTAGGTTCAAAACATGAATGTATTAGAAATATGCTCCTTGAGTCCATTATTAATTTATTAATTTTATTATTTCCATTTATCCATAATGAATGTATATTTACTTTTTCAGTAGTATAATATTATAGAAAATATAAGTGAAAAGCAAATAAATATTAAGGCATGCTTGAATTGGCTTAACAAACAAGTCAGAGCAGAATTGGCAGCTCTATTTTGTATTTGAACGAATCTTTTTATACAAAAAAATTGTTTGAATGTAATAGAGTTTATAATTACTCAAAATATTTAAAGTAAATATTTTAAATTAAAGTTAAAAAATATTATTTAATATAATTGTATTTTTTTATAAAATTTTTATAATTTATTTTTAAATTTTATTAGTTATATTTAAATATTCTAAATTAAAGTAAAAAAAAATATATTTTTTAAAAGTTTAGGTATTTATATTTAAATTTTTAATTCATAAAGACATTTGGGATGAACACGAGATTAAGGAATAATAGTATTATATTGATAGTGGGATGTGTCTGCGTACTTTATAGTAAAATTCATGGTTTGGCAGCGCCCACAAACGTAGATTATTCTGATCAAACTAGGTTATCAAATTCTTGTTTTCTTGTGTCATTTTTGTCTCTTCTTGATTGTTTGGAATTTCCATAACAACTAGTATCAGAACTCTAGGTTCTTTTGAGGGAGTCAAGATGGGTGGTCGTACTACTGTCAAGTTATTCGATTGAATGAACTTCAGTTTTTGAAAGATGCAGATAGAAGATTACATGTATGGTAAAGATCTAGATGCAACATTGAAGGAGAAGCCCGAAGATATGGATGAAGTCGAATACAAGAAGATTGACAGGAAGGAGATGAGTGCGGTTCGACTAACCATTCGGAGAATGTCTCTTTTCGTGGGGTTCATGCATAATTGACACTGGAGATTTTAAAAATCATGTCGGATATGTACGAACAACGTGTGCTGCAAACAAGGTTTACCTGATGCGAAAACTGTTCATCCTGAGGATGGTTGAAGGGACTCCTGTAGTTGTGAATTTGAACAAATTCAACCTGATCACTATGCAATTACGGTCGGTGATCTTGAATTTGATTCAGAGATTCAAGCCATAATTTTGCTATCGTCTCTGCCGAATAGTTGAGATTCGGTAGTAACAGCTTTGAGTGCGGCTTTTTCGGGAAAAAAAAAAGATGAAGTTTGACGCAGTCAGAGATCTAATCTTAAGCGAAGAAATCCGGAGAAATTCGAGTAAGAATACTGAATTTGGATATGGATCTACCCTTAGTGCCGAAAATAGAGGTAGATTTGAGGCGAATAAAAATGGTCAAGATCAAGAATGGTCAAAGTCGAAGCCGAAGAACAAGGACAAGTCATGTGGTATGTGGGAACTGCAATAAAAATGGGCACTTAAGATGACAGTGCAGGGCGCCGAAGAATGATCAGACTTTGGCGAATACAGTGGAGGGGATATCAGATGCACTGATTCTGAGTGTCAGCAGTCCAATGGAGTCATGGATCTTGGACTCATGAGCGTTATTAAACTCATTCAGTGATTCGAAATCATGGAATCCTATACCACAAGTAATTTTGGTGTTGTCTATCTTGCAGATGATAAGCCACTGAAAATTGTAGGTAATGAGATGGTTCGAATCAGAACACCAAATAGAGGGGAGTGGAGACTGAATGAGGTGAGGCATGTCCCGAGTTTGAAACGGAATCTGATTTCCGTTGGACAATTGGATAAAGCAAGTTACTCGACAGTTTTTTGAAACTAAGTCGTGGAATGTAACCAATGGATCCATTGTGGTGGCTCGAGGGAGAAAACATGAAACCATCTATATGACGAAAGCATGCGAGACGAAATCGGTTCTGTGGCCATAAATAATGATGCAAATTTATGGCATTCTTGTCTCAGACACATGAGCGATAAATGGATAAGGGAGCTTGTTTCAAATGGATGATTTCCAAGTCTCAAGTCCGTCGATATTGGAGTATGCGAGGACTGTATTTTTAGGAAGTAAAGAAAGGTGTCGTTCTCAAAAAGTGTGAGAGACCTAAAAAAAAAAAAAAAAATTGGAGTTGGTCCATATGGACTTGTGGGAACCAGCTCCTGTATTGTCACTTGCAGACAGTACTACATCACGTTCATTGGTGACGCTACACAAAAGGTATGGGTATATTTTCTTAAGCGTAAATCTGATGCTTTTGAAACTTCAGAAAGTGGAAAGCACTTGTGGAGAATGAAACGGTGCTACGCAGGTGAGCAATCAGACAATTGGAATTACAGAATCAAGGAGAAGGTTGATGTGAGTAAGCCCTATGCAATAGTGTGCACAAAGCCAAATATAGCACATACAGTGGGAGTAGTGAGCCGATTTATGAGCAATCCTGGAAGAAAATTTAAGTTGGTTACCTTAGATGAATTGAGGTTGTGTTCAACCTCAATGAACCTCGATGAGTGAAAGAAGAAGCTTGGCGCTGTCATTGCGGATGAAAAAAAATATTGAAATAAAAGATGCAATCAATTTTCAAGTTGGAGATTGTTGGGATATAAAGTCTGATTATATCCTAAAATTTAGATAAACCCTCTCTTTCCTCTGTGGCATGGTATGTGGAATTATTGTACCTTAAAAAAATGCAAAAAAGCTTCCAGAGTTGCTGTAGAGAACAACTCTAGAAAATTCCATTTTTTTTGTTTTGAATATTATTTATAATAATTTTAGTTATCTTTTATTTTTTTATAATTTTGTATTATATAAAATTGTATTATCTACACAATGATATATATTGATATATTTTTATTTAAATTTATTTTTAAAAATAAATAATTTTGATATAAGTATAGATATATATGTATTTTTTAATAATATGTAGGATGTTGATCGCCTTAGTTGGCTAACAACACCACGGGTAGATCTATCCTACCGCCAACATGTGGACGATTCAGATGAGCTGGAATAAATATTACTCCACCCCATCGCGAATGTTTCCACCAACTGCAAGCTCACTCACAATTTTTCAAATTTCGCAGCTAATGCCAATTTGTTATGTAATATTAATAATAGGTATATATATTTGGTACATATATCTTTGTAGTGTGCAATGATTATATATAATATATTATTATATGAAGGCAAAATGGCAAAAAAATCATCTGTGATTTTCAGAATTCGCTGAAAGTTTCTCGTAGTTTTAAAATTTCAAAAAATCTATTTGCGATTTCCAAAATATTGCACATTGTCCCCCCTCTCTATATTCGACCACGGATGTTAAATTTTATCAGATTTGACCGTTATATCCTTATTTATATAGATTTTAATATTTGTTCTCTTTTTTCTTCTTTCTTCTTCTATTCTCCCTAACATTATATTCTTCCATCTTCTTCTTCAAGTTTTTCCCCAATTTTTTTCTTCTTCTTCCCCAATTCTTTTTCACGCCGCCGCAATCCTATCCGATTATTTCTTTTCTTCTTTTTTCCCCAGATTTTTTTCCTTCTTTTTAGCATGGAAGAAGGAAGGAAGAAGAGAAAGAGAAAAAGAAGAGAATTGGAAGAAGAAAAGAAAGAAGACAAGACCAAGTTTTTTTCTCATTTTCTTTTTCTCCAAATTTCTTTCTTCTTACTCTCTCTTTTTCCCCAATTTTCTTTCTTCTTTATTTTTCCTATTCTTCTTTCTTCCTCTGCAACCAACAGCACCAGGTTCTTTCCCTTCTTCTTAGATTAATTTCAAATCTGGATGTCAAATTAATTTTTTAGATTTTTGGGTTGGGTAAAACAGAAGAATAAATCGATAGTGAGCAATAAGTTACGCATTCTCATCTCTATCTCCGTGTCTGGTCAATTAATTGTGTTATAAATTTGGGATTGATTTTAAATTTGGTTGTGTTTAGCGGATTTAAAATGAACAAAAAATAATTGAGATTAAATTTTAAAAGTATGGAGAAGAATAAGGAAGGAGAAGCTACTGTAAAAAAAAAAAAAAAGTCATTAGTAATTTTATACAGAAATATATCACTTTATGGACCAAAAGTTGCATAGCAAGCACGTGACATACAACCGCTGTTAAATCCTAACGGATGGAGGATTTTTTGCAATATTTTGGAAACCACAAGTAGGTTTTTTGGAGTTTTAGAACCACGAGAGGTTTTCAGTAAATTCGAAAAACCACATGAAGTTTTTTTGCTATTTTGCCTTATATGAATGTAATAGGTATGGATGTATGTGTGGAAGTATGTATATATGTTTATAGAGATGCAGCCGTAAGAAGAGAATTGATGAACAAAAGTGTAGTGCATTATTTCATTTACTAACTCTCCTAATAGGATCAATTAGCCGACTTAAACTGCCTTAAGCGAATGGCAGGAAGCTGGCCAATTTTTTCTCCAATTGCGAATTAATACGTAGTTAACTTGCATGCATCCACATCGTCACATATGTGTATGTTATATATATTACAACACTTCCCCTTGGATGTTTCTATATAAATAATGTGTCTCGCTAAAAC